GCAATACCCTTTCTGCTGCCTATTTATATATGTTTTTTCCTTCATAAATGGTAGAGAATTAAAACCCAAACAGAACTCCCTTCCAATCTTGCACAAAGGCTGCGTCAACCAGCTTTCCTGTTGGCAAATTATCTACTTTAATCTCATTGCTGGAGTGTGTATCGGCTCGAAGCGATACCCGTTAAGTCATATCTTAACATTTTGGTGCTCTTGTTGAGAGAATGGCGGCAACACCACCTGATCCCAATTCCACGGCGGCTCTTGCGGCAGCCATGGAAAAGAAACTTTCAGAGATGTTCTGGGAATTTTCAGAAGTGCAAAAGGGAGCCATACACCAGGAGATTGTCTCGGTCCACAAGAAGATCGACTCGCTGAACACCCGGATCGAGAAGGTGGAGAGCAATCAGGGAGAGGCGTCTCATGTTCGGCACGACAAGGTAGTCCGCAACAGTGAAGATGAAGGTTCCTCCAGGTTTCACCGATTCAAGATGGACCCTCCCGTGACGGATGGGACGGATCCGCACACCTGGTTGTTCAAGGCAAAGGAATTCTTTGAATTCAATTCAATCCCGGATGAAAAGAGGTTGAAGGTGACCGGGTTGATGTTAGACGGCGCGGCGGTGGAGTGGTTTCGAAGAATGAAGAGGAACAATCTGATCAACACTTGGGCTGACTTCGAAGAGCAATTTAAATTCAGATTCGACCCCGAGATGTATGAGGATTATTTCGGTTGTTATCAAAGTTGCAACAAACCACCACAGTGATGGCATACCAAACTGAATTTGAGCGGTTGATGAATAAGGTGGAAGGGGTGAGTGAAGATACGTTAATTTCGGTTTTTATATCGGGGTTAAAAGATCCGATCCGCAGGGAATTACGGGTCAACAGGCCCACGACGCTGAATGGGGCATTTGCACTGGCCCGAGAAACCTCCGCTAAGTACGACGAACTACAGACCCCCATTAGAAGAAATTGGGCTCCTCAAGGCCATCGACCCAACACTGCTAATCCTTCAGCCCAGACGGCGGCTATAACACCATATGTGCCTCCCACTAAAACTCCACTGTTGGCTACTCCTAAAGGAATCCCGGCAAGACCCATACGAAGAATATCTCTGGCGGAAAAATCTGAGAAGGACGCTAAAGGAGAATGCTATTTTTGCCCTGAAAAGTGGTCCCGAGGTCATCGCTGTAACGGGCGATATTTGTTGTTGGTAACCAGCGAAGGAGAGGCGGACGACGAGGGATTGAGTGTGGAAGCAGAGGCGGTGATTGAAGGGGACGTCTCAGTATTACAAAGCCTCGCGGGAACAACGACTCCTAGGTCGATCAGGCTTAAGGGTGTGATTGAAGGGCAAGACGTAGATGTATTGGTGGACGGAGGTAGTACGCACAACTTCGTGCATCCAAAGACTGCCGAGAAACTACGGTCGGCGCTCACAGACATAGATCCTTTCAGGGTTTACGTAGGGAATGGTGATTCCCTAATATGCCGATCACGTTGTAACCAAGTTTCAATGAGGGTCCAAAACCACATGTTCACGGTGGATTTATTCGTCTTGGCCGTTCACGGCCACAATATCGTTTTGGGAGTGCAATGGCTGAGATCGCTGGGAAAGATCACGCATGATTACAGTAAAATGACTATGGAGTTCTTGTGGCATGATCAACCAGTTTTGCTCTGTGGAGAAGAGACACCAGTCAAAGCCATTTCTTTGCAACAATTGCAAAATATGCAGGCTGCTGAGTCAATTGGGGAATGCTTTGAATTGTGGAC